TGTATCTATAGTTCCAGCTACTTGAAAGGTTGAGGAAGAAGGATCACCTAAGCCCAGCAGGTCCAGCTGCAGTGGCCGTGAGCATGCCACTGCACTCCAGCCTGGGCGACGAGAGTGAGACTCCAACTCAAAAAAAAAAGATATACAATTATTTAAGACTGCCTTAAAACAGTCACCTGGGAAGTTACTGTGCTTCAAATTTATTTATTTCAACATTTTTGAGCACTGGAGAGAAACTGGTACATCACTTGTCTTCTTGTGGTCCTTGTCGACCCTGTGTTGTGCTAAAGCTTAAATAAATAAACAAACAAACAAGAGAAGCATTTTTTTTTTTTGAGTTGGAGTCACTCTGTCGCCCAGACTGGAGTGGAGTGGCACGCTCCCGGGTACCGCACCCTTGACCTGCTGGGCTCCGGCGATCCTTCCGCCTCAGCCTTCCAAGTAGCTGGAACCACAGGCGCACGCTACCTCGCCCAGCTAATTTTTGATTTATTGTAGAGATGAGGTCTCGCCAAGTTGCCCAGACGGGTCTCAAACCCACGAGCTCAGGCAATTCACTCACCTCGGCCTCCCAAAGCGCGGGATTACAGGCTGAGCCACCGAGCCTGGCAAGAGAAGCATTTTTACCTATACCTGGTAGTGAAAGAGTGAGACCTGGTCAGGACTCCTGGCCTCTTCGTGTAGGACCACCTAAGCTCTTACTGAAAGGCAAGGCCAACTGAGTCTCAGTTCCCATAAGACTGTCTAGCCATTACCTGGGGCAAGGGTGGGTCCCACAGACCTAATGCTGAAACAGCAAAGCCCTTGGTATAAACTCTCTCAGCCTTGTCCTTGGCTGAGTCACCCAGAGGACAGTGAGCTGGAGCCTGCCCTGCAAAGGCCACCTGAGAAACTGGAAACAAGATCCCCTACCAAAAAAGTCCTCCTAGCTCCACCTCAAAGCACAGGAATAGGATAGAGCCCACCAGCTTCCAGACTGGGGCAGCCACAGAAATGCCCCAACAGTCATTTTATGAAATGACCGGTCTCTGGGCTTTTGGTCCAAGTCTCCGGATTATCATCCCACTTCTCCCATCATTCTCTTTCAAATATCTATCTATCTATCTATCTATCTATCTATCTATCTATCTATCTGTCTATCTGTCTATCTATCACCTATCTATTTATTTGAGACAGGGTTTTACTCTGCTGCCCAGGCTGGAGTGCAGTGTCACAATCTCGACTCACTGCAGCCTCAAACTTCTGGGGTCCAGTGATCCTCCTGCCTCAGCCTCCTGAGTGGTTGGGACTACAGGTGTGTGCCACCACACCCAGATAGTTTTTCTATTTTTCTTGCTTTGTTGCCCAGGCTTGTCTAAACTCCTGGGCTCAAGTGATCCTTATGCCTAAGCCTCCCAAAGTGCTTGGATTACAAGCATGAGCCACTGTGCCTGGCCTCTTTCAAATATTGAAACAGGATATTCTTAAAATGCCAACCTACTTCGGTTGTGCTAAAGTTTAAAAAAAAAAAGAAAAAGGTTTTTTGCCTATATTTACTAGTGGAAGAGTGAGACCTGGCCAGGCACAGTGGCTCCCACCTGCAGTCCCAGCACTTTGGGAGGCCAAGACAGGAGGATCACTAGAGCCCAAGAATTCAAGACTAGCCTGGGCAACATAGCAAGACCTAGTCTTTACAAAAAAAAAAAAAAAATCAAAGAATTAGCCAGGCTTGGTGGTGTACACTTGTAGTCCCAGCTACTTGGGAGGCTGAGGCAGAAGAATCCCCTGAGTCCAGTGGCTGTGAGTATGCCACTGCACTCCAGCTTGGACAAGAGAGTGTGACCCTGACTCAAGAAAAAAAGAGCGAGACCTGTACTCTCTGGGGGACATGGTGAAGGGGAGGAAGCCACAGTCCAAGAGGCCAAGCACCTAAGAGGAAGTTGACCTCCAGGAACAGAAGCAAGTCTTAGCTCAGCCAACTCTGTCCAGGAGACATCCCCCCATTCCGTGGAAGCATCAGGAGCTTGTGGATTTACTAGTAACCTCATCAGGTGCCGGACATTGTACTAGATGCAGAGTGGGGAAGAGACACAAAGATGACCAATACAGAGTGCTTGGCAGAGGACAGACAAGACAGCAGTAAGGATGGGGCAGCTAGAACAATGGTATGAACAAGTGCTGCAACCAACGGGGATACAGAGAGAAGTCCTCAGGAGCGGTGACGTCTAGACCAGAAGGGAGTTTGCCTTACACAAAGAGGGAAAGACTGGACAGGTGCAAGAAGAAAGCAAGCACAGTGAGCAGGACGGAAGCTGTGCAGCTGCAGGAGGGGTGAGGGCTGGTGAGTCTGGAAAAGAAGACAAGCACCCCTGTGCCAAGCTGGCGTGGATGCCTTTGTCCCGCAGGCAAGGAGGAGAAAGCCATCTGTCCCTTCACAACCAGCAGACTTGTGATTCAGACCACCTGGGTTCACATTCCAGCCCCTCCCCCTTCAGAGGGTTGGGTGCTCGGGCAAGTTACCCAGCCTCTCGGGCTTTGGTTTCCGGCAGTTGGAATAACACTTGCCACAGAAGCTGTGATAGTGAATATCAATTACCATTATTTGCCAATGAAATGTGAGAGCTGCCACTGGCTGGCTGAGCAGAGATTGGAGCCCGGGTAAGGACAGGTGCTGGGGACGCGTTTGCACCCGGACAGAGGGAGGGTGGCTGAGTCACGGGACTGGGCCCCCTCCCCCAGTCCTGTAGCCCTGAGGGTGGAGGTGAGGGTGGCAGCACGACCTGGTCCCTTCAGTTCCTCCTTGCAATCCCTGACTATACTCCAGCCCTGGGCTCTGCCCTAGGCTTCCTCCAGGCGTTGACAACCACCTTGCCTCACGTGCCACAGCCCCCTCCAACTCCCACCCCAACTTCAGCTCTGGATGACAGACCAGTCGGATGCCCAGCCCAGCCCTGCAGGAAGGGCGGGACTGCACCACCACAGCTTGCCCTGTCCCCCACCTCCTAAGTTCCTGTGGCTCTGGGAGCCTGGGGGACGGGAGGAGGAGGTCGAGAAGCAGGCCTGGCACGGTGGTGGTTGCCTGAGGCCGAGCAGCATAGGCCTGAAGACGGGTGCAGAGGAGAATGCAGGGGTCAGACACACCTGCCATCTACTAATGCTGCAACCACCAGCCAGTCACCGGACCATCCTGAGCCCGACTCTCCTCATTTGCACCAAGAATACCCATCTCCACAGTGGTAGGGATTCACTACACAAGAGCTAAGCACTCAGTTGCAGCCTGACAGGCAGTGACCACCTAGTAAATGGAGCCACCGTGACTGTTGTCCTCCTCCCCCCTCCTCTAACCTTAGCAGGTGGGAACCTGGGGCAGGTCATCTGGGCTGCACTGGCAGGTCTTTCATGCAGACAGTACAATTGAGCCCTGGGACATCCATGTGCTTTGACTGAGGTTAAGCATTTACAGGTTCCCCTCTGATGGGTTCAGTCCCCATCCTGAGCGCGCGCGCGCGCGCGCACACACACACACACACACACACACACACACACACTTCTATTCCTTGGGTGCACCAAAATCCACACCAGACCTTCACGGCCCAGGCAGTGTCTTCACCCAGTGGTAGGCAGCTGACTGCAGTGTTGGCATGGTGCCCCAAAGAAATAACCAGCGTCACCCCCGAAGGGGAGGCAAAGGCTCTTTCTCCCTCTCCTCCCTGTACCCACCAACACCCAGCCCCAGCTCACCAGGATGCCCCCACCCTGGCTCCTGAACACTGAGTGGTGGGCAGCGAGCTGAGTTCTCAGGACAAGGACAGACTGTGACGAGGATGAGAGCACCAGGGAGTGAGGACTTGGCCAGGCTTACAGCTAGAAATGTGAAGAGCACTGAGCTTCATATGTGCCTTTACTTCTTACTGTCAGCCGCTGCCCAGGTCTTTCCTCTGGCCTAGGCTGAGGCCCAAGGGTCTCAGGGTATGAAGGTGTGGGGATGTTCCCTGGGGGCTGACACAGGTCATCATCTCCAGGGCATCCTACCTCTGTAGGGCCCTGGATTCGGGACAACAAAGAACCATCTGGACTGCATGCATTTAGAAGCAGTCCTGCTGGGACTCAGGCCCAGAGTCCAGCCCCCTGAGGGCCATATTTCTTCGTTGAGGGGCAGAACTGGCCCCACTCTGACTGCTGACACAGCCATGCACATCTCTTTAGGCTCACCTTCAGAGTACATGAGGAGAGCCACCCCCTCAAGCCACCACACCTGTACTCACACACACATCAACCCACCAGTAAGTCCTGTGGTGAACTCTCAAGCCACTAGCAAAGGCAAGCTCATACTCACACAAGCATGTGTATGACAGATTCTGATGCACAAAGCTATCTTTTCCACCTGACCCACCTCTCTGCCACACCTTTCCACCTCTAATCACAGGGGACCAAGTTGATCAAAGTGAGGTCCATCTGCAGCCAGGAATCAGGTGAGCTAGGGCCAGAAAAGCCAGTGTGTCCAGAGTTGGGATGGTGTGGGCCCAATTTTATAGGACAAGATAAGGCCAAGTTGGGGGTGAAGGTCAGGGCCAGGACTCAGGGACTCAGTCCAATTACAGTCCAGGTTGGGGTCAGCCTGGGGCTGAGCTCAGGAACTGTGTAAGGGAGAGATGTGCATGGCTGTGTCAGCAGTCAGAGTGGGGCCAGCTCTGCCCCTCAACGAAGAAATATGGCCCTCAGGGGGCTGGACTCTGGGCCTGAGTCCCAGCAGGACTGCTTCTAAATGCATGCAGTCCAGATGGTTCTTTGTTGTCCCGAATCCAGGGCCCTACAGAGGTAGGATGCCCTGGAGATGATGACCTATGTCAGCCCCCAGGGAGCACACCCACACTGCATATACCCACACCCAAATATTGGGGCAGCCCTGGAGGCCCTGTGCATGGAGAGACTCAGATTCCTGCACATGTGCACCTGTGTATGTCCGCATGTGAACACAGGATACGGCAAGTGACAGCTGCACCCTCCCAACACCACCAGAGTCTCCTCAGGATAATTATTTATTATTCATAGTCATCAGCATCTTCATTAATTATTCATATGATCCTTAATTATTATCCTTAACAATAAGAGCAGTAAATAGCAGAAAAGTTCTTGAGGTGCCTAAGGCCCAGGGCCGGGTGCCTCCGGGCAGTTAGACCAGCTAATGCCCTCAGGGCAGTGGGGGGACCACAGGCCCCCATCCACTGCCGACCCTGCCCCTGCCCCTCTCACTGGGGCCCAGGGGACTGCAGGAGGAGATGGTCCCAAGGGCTGGAGGAGGAGCTGTTCCTCTCCTCTTCCATGGTCAGGGCTTCCTGAGCAGAGCCTCTGAGGGGAGAGGCCCAGGCGGTGTCCTGATCCCTGGGTGAGCCACGTGTCCACACTGGGCAACCCCACTAACTGCCGGGGTCTGAGCCATGTCTGTGCAGGGGCTGGGAGGTGAGGGCCCCCAGCTGGCCCGGCAGGGAGAGGCGTCGAGTGGGTCCATCTTGGGAGAGCTCTGGGCCCCCTTGGGGGAGCTCCTCACACTCCATGAACTGGGAAACCTGCAAGAAACACAGAGCATGAGAAGACGAGGAAGCTATGGAGAAAGAGGAAGCGGATGGGGGGGGACAGGAGGACCCAAGTGACAGAGGACAGACAGGAGGGCAGGAAGACAGAGAGGAGGGTCAGATGGGCAGAGGGAGAACTGGAGGGAATAGGGAGAAGAGCCAATGCAACCAGAACAGGATAGGGACCACCAAGGACAGGCACTGAGGTGGAAAGGAGAGAAATGTACTGTCAAGAGGGCAAGAACCAAACAAGAGAGCTGGGAGCAGCTGGGGAACTTCTATGTGACACAGGGGGGTCTTGCCCCTGGCCCAGGGAATGTTCAAGGCCCTAGTCTTCCCCAGGGAGCATGGCAGCTGAATACAAACTCAACCTGGAATAAGGAGTCCCTGTGTTGGGACAGAAGCTGGCACAGAAGGAGAGACAAGCTTCCTCCCTGCACTCCAGAAAGAACTCAAGGACCCAGAAACAAGCAGGCTGGCGGCCAGGTATCTGAAGGCCATGTAGCGGGCCAGGGCAGATGGGAGGGGTTTGTGGGTGCTGACGAGTCTGCTGGTGAGAGCTCTGCGGGGGAGGCTGTGAAGGGAGACTGGCACATTTGCTGACGTGGGCCCTGGTGTCTGCAAACAGGAGCAGGCAGCATATGGGAGGGGGGAGCGGATGCCAGGGGAAGAGGGGAGGGAGCAGATCCCAGGCCGCCTCTGGCATCTAGAGGAGTTCCTATCAGGGACACTCAGGAATGGTGCAGGGCGGCACAGACACAGCAGTCCTTCAGAAGCCGGGAAGACACAGGCAAAGATGAAGGGCAACCAAGGCCTATCTCCAGCAGAGGCGGGAAAGGCCCAGGAAGTCCTATCCTTGGCACTTGGCCTTGGCACCCTGGGAAATGCAAGAAGCCCTCAAGATGACCCTACAACAGCTAGTGCTGAGAGCAAAGACGGGCAAGATAGTCAGACCAGGGGGATATCAGTCACAGCAGAGACTTGAAACCCTGTCCCAAGATGTACTGGCAGGCAACCCTCACCCCCAGGCCTCAGGCTCAGTTAATTCTCCTTGGAGACCACCCTTGACCATGACACAGGTACTGCGGTTAGACTAGCCCTTCAAGACTAGCCCTTCAGGCGACACTAAGGGAGCCCGGAGCACTTAGCCTGCTAGTTTCCTGTACCCAGCAGTCTTGAGGCTTCGGACTGGGGGCTCTCCTGCCTTACCCTGTGCCCACAGCTCCCGAGGCAGCTTTCCTCTAGAAGTACAAAGGTGAGAGGAGGGTTGGATAGGGTGAAGGGAGGCTGGGACACAGAGACCAGGAGAATGGGCAGCAAAGCAGTTTGGGGTAGAATCGAGTCAGAAAGGGCCGAGCTAAGGGTGCATGGGAGAGGGGTCTCAGGAGCTTACCTGAGAAAGCGAGTCTAGGGTGAGGGTGGGGATGGGGCTGACAGGCTGCAGAGGGGAGGTGGAGGTGGGGCCAGGCCCCGGGGTGGTCACAGCACTGTAGGCGGGTGGGACCAGTGTCATCTGCCTCTGTAGCAGCTGCAGGACGGTGGCCATGTCAGCACTCAATCGGGTCTCCAACCTGGGACAGGAAGGAGGGAGGATGTTCAGGAAAGCGAGGACACCAGTGATGAGCTCCACTGGAATCCAGTTCCTCTCTGCATTCCAGGTGTGGCAGGGCCTGGCTCAGCTGCCGGACACACAGACAGACTTAGGCAGAGCAGACACTCCCCCATCACCCTGCAGCACATCCAGAAGTCAGACTCCAGAGCTCAGATACCAGAGCGCACTCCTACACTCCAGGTCACACACACACACACACACACACACACACACACACACACACAC